TCCAAATACTCCCCAGCGGTAAAATACAATAATTCAGCGTAAAATAACACTAATTATTTAAATTTATACAGACTGAACCCAGCCAGGGGCAAAAACAGGGAAACTGATTAAATTCAAATGATTCATAAATTAAAATTGTAGCTACTGTGAATAGCAGTAGTAAAAATGTAAGTCTGCTACTGAAACTCCATCCTCAGACCCTGAAATCAGGCAAGAATAAACCAAAAGAAAAAATGGGAAACACATGGAACAAACCTTGAGAGGACTTTTGTAAATTATATTTAAGGCTTTGAAAACCGCCCAATGTCTGAAAACCAGCGGAGACACTGCACTCACAGAATGAAACATTCACTCCTCTCATTGTCGTGTGATTTCATTCCCTGTGAGACCGAGAGCAACATGGTTTTTATAAGAGCTACCGAGCCAGACGGTCTTTGTGGAGTCTCATTCATGTTGTGCACAGTCGCTGACCTTGGCTGTCTCCACATGTTTCTCGTTCTCCGCCCTCCTTCATTCTCCCACTCCCTCTCTCTTCTCTGCTCTGGTCCCCTTCCAGTAATTGCATGTCAAATCAGTGTTCCCCTGTGAGGCCGAGGACAGAAACACATTTAACTCCTATTTTCTTTTTCTTCATATTTGGTTCTCTCACCACAACCTCTCCTCTATTGTCCATCTTTCCTCAGTTTGTGTTTCCAAGCTCACATTCCCTCCGTCTGCTCATGTTCACTCCTGCTTTCTATCTCTCTCTCTCTCTCTCCTGTTTGCTCCACACTCTGTCGTTCCTCGGCCGTGCTGCCTCAGCAGTTCTGTCTGCCCTGTCCCTTCCCTGGAGATGAAAACTCGCAATACTCCATTTCCATCTATTTCGGGCAGTCCATCTCCTGGTGTGTGCTTGTCCCTCCTCACTCTATAATGTCCCTCCATAAATCTATCTGTCTCTCTTAATGAGTCTCTTCTCCTGCAGACGGATGAGGTGCGTCCTCTCTGCTCGGCCTGTGAGTGCTGAAGGAATTAACACTGTGTGTAGTTTGCATGTGGAAAACACACCTGAACATTCCTCGTCAAAGTGCATTTTTATTTCAGGCGCTTTGTGCTCGTGACCACACGGCCGAGCTCTGCAGGATCAGAGACGGGCTAATAGGAAACTGCTCCATGAGGTCATGAGTGACAGGTATGAATACTGAGAGCGGGGAGAGGGTGGTGGGGGGGGGTTCTCATTCATTATCAATGAGAGGTGCTTTGAAGAGGACTTCATGCAGGGTAATGGCTGTTGTGCATTGGACAGCTCTCCGGCTCTGACTTGATGGAGAATGGATTACACTCTTACACGTGCTGTTCTCTATTATCTCTGGGTTAGTAGGTCATTGCACACAGGTGCTCTATTTGAGCCCCACGCCCGTCCCCAGACCCCCACCCTCATTCCTCGTGTTTGTGTTGAAAATTAGAGTTGAAATTCTGAAGAAATGGCGAAGCCTTCAAATTCGCAGCAGGGGACTGGGCGGTGGCGGCTGCGGAGCTGAGGGTTGGGTGGAGGGGGAGAGATGGTGTAGAGATGAAAGAGATGCAAAAAAAAAAAAAAAAAAGTTCAAAGTGTAGAGAGAGAAACCAAAGGAGGAGAGACACCAGAGGAGTGCACGGGTGAGGGGAGGATGGGAGGTGAGGGGAGGGTAATGATGCAGGAGAAACGTTGAAAACAAGCTTTCAAGGAATCCTTGTGTGAATGCAAATTGGGAGCGAGTCTGGCTCTGGGTTCAGCACTTGTATGTAAACACACACGATGTGGAATCAAGATGTTGATGCATAATTAGCTTTTAGCTGAAAACCCGTTAAGGAGCAAATTAATGCTGCGTACAAGAGGCTGAGCTGAGGGAAGCCAGGGAAGGTGACGTCTAACTCAACAGTAATCGGCTGCACATTATCCCACAGACACAACCACAGTCTTAATCTGGAGCGAGGCCTCAGTCTTTGCTCCTCCACGACTGAAACCTGCTCCCCCCCCCCCAAACCCATTGAATTCCACTTGTTCTGTAATTGATTTCTCTCATCTCCTGCACTTTGAAGGCCGCAGCAGTCACATCCTCAGAAAATCAATTATTCTTGAGACGGAGTTGACCCACTCGGATTACAGCCCCTGTTGTCCGATACCACCCATCTCATTTGAATACGCAGGCAGGGAGGGGTGGGCCAATTATGAGCTGATCACAGTGGGAAGATACTGATTTAAAAGGCGGCGCAGACGTTCTTTGAAAATGATGGTGATGATGCTAACAGGTCTCAGTGGGAGTATGGAGACGATAAAAATTCAAGATTTGGCTATAAATTCCTCATTCATGTGGCCAGAGTCACTGTTGTGGTGATGATGGGAAAATGAGCAAGGCTTAAAAAAAAAGAGCATGTGGAAGATTTTAAAATCGTGTCCCAGAATATGTGACCTCACAACAACGCCCTCCACCCTCTTTATTCTGCCACTCCTGTATATTTAATGATTGATGACAGAAACTCTCCATCAACATCCTTTTTGTGTGTCGCCTGGAGCCCAAACATGCTTCCACCCAGACTGTATGATATGTGTGATGAATGAGCAGCTGCACAGGGTTCACAATCTACAATACTTATCTAGTCTGTTGTTGCTTCGTCCAATATTCACGATCGTCATGGACAATTCCCTCACCTACCTGAACAGAGCTGCACCACATGCTTGGAATGAGCTGCAAGGCATCCTACATCTTTTCACTTTTCATCGAACAATGTTTTTACCATGTGGTTTTAGTATGTTTGTGTTATTTGTCCCTGAATGAATTTTTATTTGAAACGTTTTTACTTCACCGCTGCCTCATTTTGACCAGGAATCCTTGACACAAGAAATACTGTCACTGAACGGAAGATTTCACATTTCGAACCTTTAAATGCCTTTTCCACTGTAACATGGCTCTAAATAAAGGATGAATTATAGAATGAATAGAAAAACCTCCTGCCTCCTGTGAGGCATCTGGAATTGGATGCAGAAATATAATAAACAGATAAAAAGCAACTTCATAACAGTTGAAACAGTTAAAAATATTGCACGTTAAAACAGTAAATGTTTTTATATCTTGTATGTTTATTAAATGCTTGTAGAAGCTAAATCGCAGGAGTTATATGTGAAAATGTATAAATAATGGAAGAAAAGATGATAAAAGTAAAGCACATTGACAGTATTGCCTGTAAATACTATTGAGTGACCAAAATAATAGGAACAGATGCGGATATAATAATTCTGAAACATATAATGAAACAACATAATGTGCATTCCTATTATTTTGTCCACCTCCTATGGTTGTTCCATTCACACACACACACACACACACACACACACACACACACCCTGCTCATATCACCTGATCATTGGTTTGTATTGATCATCTTCTTTTTAACCATCGATACCTTTCTTTAGTGTCACTGTGAATAAAAGCACATTAGGTTTGTTTAATGATGCCGGTTGCCATGGAAACAGCCTCCTGCTTTACAGTGACGGGGGTAGAGGAAAAAAGAAGGGAGCGGCTGAAGGGCTCGGGGGGGCAGGGGTTTACTGCATGAGTGTGTGTGTGTGTGTGTGGTTCAGGTGTCTAAATGTATGGAGAATGCAACGCCTGGCTCGAAATGAGGTGCACAGCGTCTCTGCAGCCGAGCCAGTGATTCATCGTGCAAACAACAATATGTCTTTTTAAATGGGACCTATAGGAGGCTGATCAGAAACATGCCAATGGGTGTGTTCCAAGCACCAGCGTATGTGAGGCAGAGACCCGATGTATAATGCATGAGTTTTATTCCTTTGGCAAGAAAAGCAAGTGTTTTGATTTAGTTCAATGTAACAGCCTGGTTTTCCAGCCGGATGCAGCTTAAAGGTCTTAATGTTGCATTTATTGTTTAGAGACAGACTCGGTTACTGCCTCTTAATTTGAAGGTGTATGTTAGTTAAGGACAACGCCTCTAAAGGGAAAATATCAACCTGGGAAGCAACTGAAATGTAGCGGGAGATGTGATTATGTCCTTGTTTATGATGATTTCCTTTTTTTTTAATGATTGAACACCTCCATCTATTGTTTGGCCTGATCTTTGGATTAATGAACCGTCTGCACAGCAAGAATCGCTATGTTCGTAATCATTATCACCTAATAACTGAGATTTAATTTTGCGGACACACAGCATGTCTCCTCTCGGCTGCTTCTCATATTTGGATCTTTTGTTTATAAATTTTTTAGCCTCTTGACATGTCATTCTTCTTATATGAGACTAAATCCTCGAGTTAACATCTCACAGCCAAGAGCCCTGGCTCCGCTTCCCTGCTCCATCTGCGTTTGTTCTCTCTGCCTCCTCTGCCAGCATCGTTGTTCCAGGCTCATCTGACCACAGTGTATGCAGACTTGCTGCTCCACCACAAAACAGCTCAACAATCAAATCATCTCCCGTCTTCCCACCACACCTGTCTGGAAACCATGTTCAGTCTGACAGAGCTGCAAGTGTCTCTGGGATGAGACACAACCTAAAGGCACAGCCGACCTCACATCACCACGACAGCGGAATAATTTGATTCCCACTTTGAAAGACATTGACCTGCATGCGGTCCGGTGTCGTTACTGCCCACCCCTGTTAGATAAGGTCACAGATTATGGAATTGCGGCCCTGCTCTGGTTTTATGATCACACATCGCTCCTCCTTGTCTTCAGCTCCACCTCTGAGATGTGTGAAGTCATTCAAACCTTTCTATTTACTCCTGCTCCATGAAGCGCTCAAATCAATTACCTCTGATATCGGAGGGCAAACAACAGAAAGAAAGAGCGGAAGAAAGAAAAGCAGCTTGACTTTCCCCCCCTCTCTCTCATCTGCCCAATTTGACTCTCAGCTCGATTTATTACCGAGCTTCTACTCAGACTCAGTCTCTCTCTCTCTCTCTCTCTCTCTCTCTCTTGGCATCGCCTCTGGCACCAGATGAGGCCCCGTTAACTGGCCCAGACCGTGACATGCAACTGAGACCCAGCTGTGGCTCCTGGTGCCACAGATACTCAAAGTGTTGCACAGTTTCCCCACGAGTGCTGAGCATTTTCCATGCTTAGTAAGCACGGGACTTTTTCTCGGTCACCGCTTGTATCATGAAGTCACAGAGCACAGGCGTCCTAAGGCGCTGCACAGCCAGATGAGCTTACTCACGTACAGTCTGTGGTCCCAGTTGGCAGGTGGTACTGAGGCTGTAACCGTGGCAACCCCTCTCTCTCTCCCATAACACTTTAGCCCAGCTATAACAACCCATCCATCCTGCTGCCTCCGAGGCACTGCACCACTCCACTCTCTCCACGCCGGCATATCGCTCCATTTTATCTAATCTAGCTCAGCTCTCTTCACTCTGATCATTGTAATCACCGCAAAGTATCATTATGATAATTATCTGTATCGTCATCCCTAAATGACTCCTTCAATACAGCAATTAATACTCTCGTTAAGGCGGGACAAGGGATGATATTTTGGGAAAGGAACAAAGATCTGACACAAAAGGTAGATTTGTTTGCAGAGGTGAGATGTGTCACATGATCTGAGGCTTTATCAATAAGCTTATATTAAACCCAACAGTCATCTCGAATGCATTGACTCGTTTGATTCACTTAATTAATAATGATGATGATAATAATAATAATAATAATAACTTGTATTATTATTTTCATGTTGTTATCAGGTTTCTAATTACCCAATCATAATGTTTAAACTTTAATTACAATTTTAACTAAATTAAAAAATGAAGATAATTATATTTATATTGTATTTCCATCAATATAAATAACTGTGATTTATGAAAAAATTTATTTGGGAGTAAAAACTGGTTAATAGAATGTTATTGGGTTAAATGAGTGTGTCAACATCATGAGGTTGTTGATGTTTTGCAGCATCACTGTAAGAAAGGGCCACAGCACGAGAGAACAACAAAGAATAGTTTGAGGAGGAGACACAAAGAAATGCTTTTGCTTGAAGACTTGAAGACAGAAAAGAAAACCTCTGGGACAGAGAGAGACAGAGAGAGACAGAAGAGCGGAGACTGAGTTCTCACCTGGAACATGACCCTGTACTGCTCCTCAGGCTTTTGAACCACACACATGTTGCACCCCATGGTGACTTTTGACCGTGCCGGTCCACAGCCTGCTCCCGATGACCAGTTCTCACACCAGGACTCTCTCTACCGGGGTCTTTGTCTGTGGAGTGGAGAGTGAGAGCCCCACCCTCATTCGCAGGGTGGTGGTGTATTACACTTCTTCTCCTCAGAGTAACACGCAGCTCATCCCTGCTAGCGAAGGATTCACAGTTTAATTGGCTGCGTCACTCTTCCTCCTCCTCTCCGTCACAATTCAAGGGTTATAATCCAGAGTCGATTTAAAGGTGGAGATAGTTGCTGAGCTGCGAGCCCACTTGTTTCTCTCTCCATCGTGGGCAAAAACTTTTAAGTTCATGTGCTCTTTGTAGATCAACCAGCTTCGCTTCAGTCTTGTCTTTGAACCGTTGTATAAAAAGAAGATCCGTGAACTGGATCTAGAGAAATGATGAGTTATAAGAGTCCTGCCGGTTTGTGCTTGTGTCATTAAATCAATGAGGCGGACAATTCCAATGCACAGTCTGGTGACTTGTCGAAAGTGATTTGTCACTAAACCTGGGCTACACGACCTTGTTTTGCTCTTTAACGTTGAAAACTGCAGGATAGAGCAGGTTCTCCCTGCAGAACTCTAGCTGAACTCCTTCATGTGGTTTTTCTCACTCACAGCACTAAACCTCCAAACAGCTCATGTTCAGCAATGCTCTTTGAACAAGTTCGCTGCAAAACAATGCAGCTATCAAAGAACTCGCCTCAGTCCTGTTTTTACTCCTGCTTCCCTCACTCCTACACCGAGCCTCCCACCTACCACGCTCTGCTCTCCAGGATTGCTGAAGGATTGCTGAGCGGGTGTGTGCTGTGATAACTTCTTTCAGGACCCTCCTCACCAGCTCTCCACTTCAGTATCAATGCATCGTTAAAAAGTATTTCCGAATATGACTCTCCGCGTGGAGAGGTGGGAGATGTTGAGTGGTGCAAAGTGGTGACCATTACACCATTAGCAGGATCTTTAAGCCGTAGCTGTGCCGTTAAGATAAGCCGTGTGCCAAGGATGCAATTCCAAACTAGGTGCACACCAGCACATGCATCAAAACGGGCTGCAACACATGTCTCTTTCAACAACAAGCGTCACCACAAACGCAACCTGCCAAATGTCCTGTGACTGTCAGCAGAGTCATTTTTCAAACAGCCTCTCCAAACAATGAGAGACGAGTAAACAGAACACGCTCAAAGCAGGAGTGCATTGTATCTGATCTGTTGTTCGAAATAATGACAAGTATTAGACCATTGATTCTCTGAGCAATCGCCCACTCAGCACTCTGTCTGGAGACTCCGGGGTGAGAGGGAATGATGGATTATAATTAAATGAGTGGCCTCCTAAGCAGAGATCAGACACGACTCTGCTCTGACGGGAATCAATATCAATGGATCAATTGGATATATATTATATATATAAATGTTTGCTTTTTAAATAACCAATAATTAGATTTTGATTCAATGATGCTCAGTGGATTCTCTGAATGTTTTACTCGTCCTGATGTTATAAACACAACCTTTCCACTGGTATTCAACTCCCATTGACTCTATGATTGCTTTCCTCACAGATAACCTGAAACAGAATCTCAGTATAACTTTCTCCAGTGTCTTCCAGTCTCCGCCCTTGACCTCTCAGTCTCATCATGCTGGATAAAAAACCTTTATCTTCAATCCTGCAGCAGGTAATTGCCAGCACGGTCGCAGCTTGACGGTCTTGTCTGAACGCTCCGTGGCCCTGTGTGGTGCCAGCGACAAGGTGTTAGAGCTGCTAATCCTCATTCAAGGCTCGACTACACCTGTATCCTTTCCAGAGGCGGTGTAATCCCGAAGTCTAACTGGCTTCTAACCTTCAACCAGGCACAAACACACATCCCGACTCATGCCACCTCAATGAAAAGCAAGGTAACTGAGGAACAGATAACCTGACAGTCAAAGCAGGTGCTAATCGAGCCACAAAGAGGTGTCAGACACTCTCAGCAGGTGGGCAACTTTCATCCCCTCTCTCCATCTCCATCTCCTGTCCATCACCATATACAGTACCTCTATAGTACCTATAGGATTATTGCAGTGAAGTGTCTAGATGATCAAATTGCCATGCCTCAAGAACACAATACATGGTGTGAAATTACAAATACTTCCTAAAAAACCCACTTGTATTCTTCTATTAAACCACTGCATGCAGAAGGATTTTCTCATACGGCACAAATGCACGTGTAAAAGTTAGTCCATCTTTAGGGGAAAAGGAAAATTCAGCAGTGAGTAAGTCCATTTTAATCCTCCTTTTGTCCTCTGGTCATTCAGTTTGAAATATCCACAGGAGGGTATTTGTGCTGAAGAAAAGAAATAAAAAAAGCATGGCGAGTATTCCAGGTGGCTGCAGTGCTGAGCAGAGAGCAGCGCCTGTCTCAGGTCAGTGATAAATCACCATCAGCACCCTCACAAGATGAGAGAAATCACTGACGGCTGATTGGAGGATACTTCTTGGCTTCTCCCCTTGGGCGCGACGGTAAACGCATTCCCTCCTCTGCAGCGGGGAGGGGGGACACAAAAAAAGAAATCAGTTGTTCCCCAGCAGTGGAGGAGCCTGCTGATGTGTATATGCTGCACTACTACCACAGCTCCTCTGGATTTTACTCTGTATAATCTCTCTCTCTCTCTCTCTGTCATCCCCACCCTCTTTCTCTCCATTTCCAGGGCTGGGCTACTGCTCTCCTCTCTAGTCGCCCCATAATTTTTACCCACACCTCATTTGCTACCCTCTCTCCCTCCCTCCTTACTCTCTCCTCTCCCCCCCCCCCTGCCTCCCCTCTGCTTGTCTGCAGGCAAGAGAGCAAGCACTGGAAAGCCTGTGCATACTGTTTGAGCAGGACAGGACGAGATAACCAGCAAAGCCACATAAAAGTGAATGGAATATCAAGGTTTTCATGCTTTTCACTATGAAGACACACAAGCAGGGAATTGGCTCATTCACCTCATGGTGTGTGGTCAATCCTGTGTGACCTGGAGTTGCTGTGAGATGGTTTACAAACAACACTTCTTTTTTCATATCAGTAAAAAAAAAAAAAAAATGCCCAAAGCAGATGGAGGGCTCCTGACTGGCTGTGCATTCAGATGAGGTTCTGCAGCGCCACGAAGGAGAGAAAAGACGAAAAACAAGCGAATAACAGGTGTGACAGGACCAATTGGAAGATATGGAGGAGAGCCAAGAAGGAGAAATGCAAATGACTGTGTGGGAGAGCAGCGGAGACGCAGAGATGGGAACAACAGTTCTGTGCAGTAATCAAAATGACCTGCTGAGAGAGGGGGGGGGGGAGACATTTCGTTTTAAGTATCGGCCCAGTCTGGGTGGTATTTGTGGGTAAAAATCCCCCCGTGCAACTCCACACTCACAGTCACTCAGAGCACCATTCACTTGCTAATTTTCAATTTTGAAAAGATTTCACTGGCACATTAACGGCAGTGCCACTGCCAAGTAACTCAGGGTGGGAGAAGTGAGACAGTCCGGGGGGGCAGAGGAGCATTAGAATGGCCAATATTAACACGCTGAGAATTCTTTTATTTTTCATTTACAGAATGTAACCATGCTTAGGATTGACCTTTCAATGGGGATGCTGTAATTTGCCACTTGTCAGTTTCCTATTTTTCCATCTTCATGTGCTTGTACTCTCTCTCTCCTGCATCAGAGTCGTTTATCAGCTGCCATGAAATGAAGAACAACCTCTCTAGGCATCACTTGTATACACACACACACACACACACATACACACACACACACACACACACACACACATTTTGCTGTAAGCCTGTCTGAAACAGGATTTCATGGTGACAGTTTCTGGTTCAACAGGCTTACATATATTTTAACCCATCTCAGAATGCTGCAGAGCCACTAATTCAGCATGCACCACACAAACATTAAGATTACACCAACACATGCACACAGAGACACATCTTCTTTTTATCACTCAGCCTCAATCTGTCTGCTTTTATTTATTTTTTTCATCTCAACACAAAAGGTCAATGTTATGTAGAAAGCTGGAGATGATCACTTTAAGTCAGACAGTTCCTCCTACTACGGCTCATGTCACGATCTCTTTCCAGCTTAAATACAAGCTCCTGTCATTTGATATTATCCACAACGGATTTGTGCACTTTCCCCCCCTCCCACTTGTGCAAAGGGCCAGGTAGCCTGAGGTATGTGGCTCCTACTTTTCCTCTGCTGACTGCACCTCTCCTGATCTCTGCAGAAGTCGTGGACACAAATACGGAGCAAAAGTTGAGAAACTTTCACATCTTACTGTTCCTGTAATATTCCACAAGGTCGTGTTCAAAATGCACGAGAGGGAAAAATTTGTCTTGCATAAATGTTAATGGGAAATATTATGCATACATGAGTACAAGAAAAAGGAGTTCGCCAGAGCGCCGATTGACAGAGATTCAGCAGAGAGAATTTTTTTTGAGTGGAATAAAAACAGAGAGGGAGAAGTGACGGAGCTGAAGAGACGGATGAAGGGGGTAGAAGAGATAGAAATATGTAAGAAGAAAAGAAAAAGGAGAGACAGCCTCTGTGTTTCCAATGAGGCCTTCCTTTTCTTTAGAGGACTGAAGGCAGCAGAGCAATGGAGTACTGGCAGAATTTTAAGTGTTCTCATCATTTATTTACTGCTCTGAGGAGAAGAAGACTGCCAGTGAAGAATACAATGCTGCAAGAAACATATTTTGCACAGTATGTGTGTGTTTGCATGTTCGTGCACATGGGCCTGAGACATGACTGACATATCATAGTGAGGGCCGGTGACTGACAGCCAGCGGAAGAGGACCCCTCACAGAGGCTTCATTCACATTCTGGAGAAGTTGCTGCGAGTGAAAGCCATTTCACAGCAGAGACGATGAGGGCCAGTTGCCTCAAAGCGACACAGAGACGGCGTATGATGGGGAGCTGGACTGCGGAGAGAGGGATAGATGAGAGAATGAAAGAAACAAGGGAAGCCAGCGTGTTGACGGAGAACAGGGGAACTGGTAACTGTGTCTAATCATACTTGAGTGGAGGAAACTTTAGCTGGCAGAAGTACAGACTTGTTAATTAACTGGATGAGGAAAACAGACTGAAGACAGGAATCAACCCTGATGTACATCACAGGAGATTATGAGGGCAGACACCATGCTGCTGCTGCTGCTGCTAACTGATCTATTCCTGCAAAAACACATCAATGTGAACTTAATTTGGCTCTTTCATCTGTTAAAGGGTTTTGATACTGCTGATTACACCGCTCTCGACCGCTTTACTTTATTCATATTGAGTGTATCACGCTTATATATACACAAGTGTGAAGATGAGAAGATGAATGGGTCACGAGATGCTT